GTAGTCAGGCGATGTGAGCCCCCATGGGCTCTCTCATTGGAGCGGATAGGTGAGGCCGCCACCATCGCTGCTGCTCCTCCAGGGAAAAGCCCCCCTTGAGGCCTCCCTGCCTCCTGGGTGTCTCCGCTGAGTCCGTTTTTGGCCAGTGTGTTCTGTCAGGGGGCGGGCCTCAGGGAGGAGTCAGATGCGGAGGGGAGGTTCAAAAGGGTTTAATGAACAAAAAACACACTTAAAAGGAGTGGTTGACCAGACAAGGTTCAAAACAAAGCAGACAAAACTATGAACGAAGTATCAAAGCAAGATTAACATGGCTGTGAACAAAGTATCAAATCAGGTAAACAAGACTATGGCAAAAGTACTAAATAAAGTAAACAAGACTGTGACGAAGTGCAAAAATCAAAATCTTACGTGGCGTGGACAAGAAAAGGAACGAAAGCAAAGAGACACAAACTCACACACTGGCACAGGACAGGGGAAACGAGAAATATTTGAACACATGAGGGAAGGGAACCCCAGGTGTACACAATAGGTGGTTGGTGTGTGTTGACCAGTCCAGTTTATTGTCCAGCCACACCCCAATCCACAGCCTCCACCTCAGCCCCCTCCAGGAGTTTTGGCTTAGTCTTTGGTCCATTCCTCCCAAAGTTTATGGCCAGCTGCATTGTCTTGGAGATGTTGAGCTCCAGGTGGTTGGTGCGGCACCAGGTGGCAAAGTCCCCCACCAGACTCCTGTACTCCTCATCTCTGTTGTCCCTGATACACCCCATAATGGCTGTGTCATCTGCGTACTTTGGTATGTGACACAGCTCATAGTTGTAACAGAAGTCTGAGGTGTATAGGGTGAAAAGGACAGGGGCGAGCACTGTGCCCTAGGGGTCTCCAGTGCTGCCGACCACAGTGTCAGAGATGGCGTCTTTCAGCCTGACATACTGTGGCCTGTCTGTGAGGTAGCTGGAGATCCATGCCACCAGGCAGGGGTCCATGCTATTCAGTTTGTCTCTGAACAGGGAGGGCTGGATGATATTAAATGCACTTGAGAAGTCCAGGAAGAGAATCCTCGCCAAGGCACTTCCCTTTTCCAGGTGCTAATGGACTCGGTGTAGTAGGTAGAGGATGGCGTCTTCCACCCCTACACCTGTCTGATATGCAAACTGCAGTCGGTCCTGGACCTGTTGTACTTGAGGTCTGAGGAGATTGAGGAAGATCCGCTCCATTGTCTTCACCAGATGTGAAGTCAGTGCCAGAGGCCAGAAATCATTTAGCTAACTGGGCTGGGTATTTTTCGGAACCGGTGTGATGCAGGATGTCTTCCATAGGGTAGGCACTCTCCGTAGCTGCAGGCTAAGGTTGAAGACCCGCTGTAGTGGTTCCCCCAGTTCAGAAGCGCAGGTTTTCAGTAGCTGTGGACACACCTCGTCCAGGCCTGCTGCTCTCCTGGGTCGAAGTCTCCTCAGCTGTCTTATGACCTGGTCGGTAATGATGTGAGGCAGGGAAAGTGTTGAGGTGGGGGGGCCTTCAGGAGCAGAGTATGATGGTGGTGCTGTGTTAGCTAAGGGGGGGGGGGGGCAGGTTGAGGCTGGGGGTGGAGGTTTTGTTTCTGGGGGGAGGTGAGTGCTGGGGGAAGAGGAGATGGAGATGGGGGGGTTGTTGGCTTGTCAAACCGGTTGGAACTTGTTCATTTAATTTGCCCTCTCCATTGTCCTTTCAACGGCCCTGGTCTTTGTGTTGTGGCCTGTGATGGTCCTCACACCTTCCCAGACTTCCCTCATGTTATTCTCCCTCAGATTCTGCTCCACCTTCCTTCTGTAGGTGTCTTTGGCTTCCCCCACACTGTGTTTAACCTCCTGTTGTGCTTTCTTCCTTGTCTCTGCTCCTGAAGGCAGACTTCTGCCTGTTTATGACAGTTTGACCTCCCCATGCGGTTCAATCAGCACGTCCCAATCCGTGGTATTAAAGCAGTCCCTCAGGGAACTTTGCATCTCAGGGGAACACCTCCTGACGGTGCGGGTTGTAACCGACTGCTTTTGTACTTTGACTGTAGGTGAATCAGGTTGTTGTCCGACTTGCCCAGTGGGGGGAAGCTTGTGGCTCTGTATGCTTCCCCCACATTAGCATACATTAGGTCGATTGTCCTGTTGTTTCTTGTCGGGCAGTCAACAGCCTGATGGAAAACGGGCAAAGTAGAGTCCAAGGTTGCATGGTTAAAGTCACCAGAGATTAATATAAAGGCATTAGGGGGCTGTGTCTGTAGCCTGGCTGTAATAGTGTGTATCTCCTCAAAAGCAGCGGCTGCGTCCGCTCTCGGGAGAATGTAAACACAGATGGCGATCACATGACTGAATTCCCTCAGCAGAGATTATGGCCGAAAACAGCTAACAGCTCGAGGTCCCAGCAGCATAACACAGTCTTTACTAAGATATGTCCTGGGTTACACCAGTGGTGGTTCACAGACATGATAAGGCCTCCACCTTTCTGTTTCCCCACTCGCTTTAGTGTCTCTGTCATATCCCACCGCAGTGAATCCCAGCAGGTCCACATTAGCATCTGGTACGAGGTGGTTTAGCCAAGATTGACGAGCTGACCGCACTGAACAACATGCGGACTTATAGGGGAAGCAGCCCGCTCATCTTTACTCTCCGTAAAGTCGTTCAGTGCGGTCAGCTCGACAATTTTGTTAGCCAGCGAGTTCACATTTCCCATGATTATGGAGGGGATTGATGGTTTGTAGCACCTCCAGTTCTCCGCTAGCCTAGCCTTAAGCTTAGCACCGGCCTTGCAGCCCCTGTACTTCCTCCTCAGTTCCTCCGGAATGGAGTGCACTGCAAACATGTCCCATTGTTTGCAGTGCCTCCAGTTCGTCTCTCGAATACGTAAGGAAACCAGCTCTGTGTAGCATGTTCAATAAAAAGATAAAATTGCCCCACGGTTGGAAAACAGTAGAAAAAAAAAAGGTTTTATAAAGAGAGAACAAAGAGTAGAGTCTACAGAGACTGCCATCATACAGCGCCAGGTGAAGAGTGTTGGTGAAAGGTGTAGATATTATGCAAGGAGGACATGTCGAGGGAACTTCACAAACACAAGGTCTGTATAGTTGTGTGTATGTTTCCCAGTACCGGCCTTGCCATCCAGTATGATTCACTGCTAATAACCAAGGTTTATTCTGTTTCATGTTCTAGACATGCCTGTCACTTACTGTCAAAGGAAATCCACTTGAATGGCTTCAAAGGCTACTGTAGGCTCCATATTAACAATTTTGAGGGAAATCAATATATGTATAATCACTTTCTTCACTTCTCTAAGGAAAGTTTCCACGAGCGTATATTCTAAAGATTATTTTTCTTTCTCATGGGACTCTTTCCTCTTTCAGGGTCTCAGAGAAGGTCTCCTTATATGTTATCTCTTAATATTTTGTCGGGAGGATTGTTTGGTTCACGTGCAGTTTTCTCTATGATGGGGGACAGACTTTACTCCTTATCCCAGACTCAGGGAGGGGTATAAAATGCACTATGATTTGTTTTACTTGAGAGCAGCTTGGTACGTTGTTTGAACCACTTGTATGATCGTGCTGGTTGCTCTCACTTCATGAAGTTTTCCCTTTTAATACATTTTTATTTCTTACTTACTTGGACGGACTCAGACTTTTGCTTTAGAATAGAATTTCCACAACATTATACACAGACAAACATACACATGTACTGCATTTTGGTTGTCTAAAGAGTTATTTCTATCAGTGTCTGGAAGGTCACTATCTTTGTTTTTTTCTTTGTTTCCTATTGCTACTGCTTCTGTTGATAAAAACCTCTGTGTCATATTAAGACATCTGTTTTAGAGTAGAACTTTTTTGCCCAGCAGCATGTTAATTTCTTGAACTTTTGTATTGGACTGATTTTTTAGGCTTTGAAAGATTTAAATTTTTTAATGCTATGTAGCAGAGGTATTTAGTCAAATTATTATACACCTTATTTCTCGAGGTGTTCAGTGTACACAATTTACAGTTATAATGTATATTAACATATGATCTCATTGTTATTTTTTCATCTCTTTTAAATAAATGTAAAAAATGGCACCGTCTTTGACACACTGCCTTGGAACTTTTCCCATAGCACATCTTGTGATTTCATATTCAGGGGTCTCAGATTTTCTGATGATGACTACAATTCATGTAATTGGGAGGCAGTGAGCTATTTTTCTTTCATTTTGAGGAATTTTCTCTTTCCTGATGGTGGAAACCCAATTCCCCAAAAGCCTTTCCTTCTCTAAAATCCTTAGTTGTGTGGTCCATCTTGTCAGGTCATTATTTATCTCTGAGAAGGAAGGACTTTTCATCAAGACATAAAGCATGAGCAACTTAAAAAAGTTTCAGTGTCTTGTTATTGACATGTGAAGTATTTGTTACATATTCTGGGATCAGCAAATCATCTTTTCATAGAACCTGTAAATCTTACTGGGTTGTATTATAAAGCTAATGTCAGAAAATGTAACTCTTGGTATCAGCTTTTGTGTTTTGTTTTAAAAACAAACACATTTCAATAATAAAAAATAAACTATTATATAAGTAGTATATAAAAATGTGTGTGGACAGAAATTATTTTGTTGCAGAGGGGAAGAAGTTTTTTGTTTTCATTTAGCTTCTCTTTTTGACATATGGAAGAAATAATAAGCACAGCCATATTCAACTGTCATCTTATCAGATAAATGTATTCTATTTATTTGTAAAATGAATTACAAATCAGGCTCAGAATTATGTTAAACAAAAGCTGTGCCTTAAAATCAACTGCTTATTCACTCATTCACTACTTTGATAATAATGAATTAGAAGTAGATTGACAATTAAGACACCTACGTTTCTAACATGAAACTGTAACACTAGAAATGATCAATTTAGTTAATATTTTAATGTGCAAAACATAATTTCATAATCCTAAGTATGTTTTTTACTTTTTGCTATGTCAAGTGAAACCTATTTACTGATTGTCTCTTTACCTTCCTTTATGTCTCAGATCCTGCGAATTTGTACCAGGTACACTCCCGACCAGGATACAATGACCTTTTCAGATGGACTGACCCTCAACCGCACACAGATGCACAATGCTGGCTTTGGCCCACTCACCGACTTGGTGTTCACTTTTGCCAACCAGCTGCTACCAGTCGAGATGGATGACACAGAGACAGGCCTCCTCAGCGCCATCTGTCTCATCTCGGGAGGTGGGTGCACTGAGACTGGAGAGTACTGAGGCTAAAGTGTGGGGACATGCAGCAGAAAAACAAAATTGTAAATTAATGACAAAAGAGAATACACAGCTGACTGTAACCTTCAATATTTGTGGATTATACAGCGAAAAATAAAGTGCCTCTCTTTTAATTCTAATATTTTACGTCATGATATAAATAGGACATAAAATCAAATAATATGGTCCTTCCAGACCGAAAAATCAAGAAATGCAACCTCAAATGGAAAACGTGATATAAATGGGAAATTGTTATAAATTGTGCCATTATTTATTTAGCAAAAAATAACTCAAAATAGGATGGCAAGAGGAGAATCGTCATCTTGCCCGTATCAAATTCAAGTCCCTGATGCTAGCCTACAAAGTGCTTAAGGGTATGGCTCCCATCTACTTGAATCCCCTTGCAAAGGCTTATGTCACAACTCGATCACTCCGGTCATCAATGGATTGTCGTCTAGCAGTGCCTTCACCACGCTTAAGACAATCCAGACTGTTTGCATGTGTCGTTCCAAGATGGTGGAACGACCTACCAAGCTCCACAAGAACAGCAGAGTCCCTGTCTGTTTTCAAGAAACTCTTGAAGACCCACCTCTTCAAAGAGCATCTCCTATCCTAACCCTAACCCGTACCTCTACCCCCCCACAGCTCCTTCTGTAGTCCCTCTACCTCTATCTCTATCTCACCACTGACTCTGATCAGTGTTTCTGCTCTATATAGTTTATTGTCATTGTGATGAGAAATGTAATATTGTGTCTACTCTGTAAGTCGCTTTGGATAAAAGCGTCTGCCAAATGCATAAACATAAACATAAACATAAACATCTTCAGCAGTTGTAACTCAAAGTCGTAATGTTCTGAAAGAGGTAATAACTATCACATTGAAGCAAAGAAAAAGTGGTTCCCTCATCTAACTCTTTAGCAATGTTTTAATTTATTTGAGACCTTACTTTGATTGGACCATTGCAAATCTTTCATTCTTTGTTTTTTATCTGCTCTGATGTAGACCTGTGGCTATTTTTTACCCATATGTTTCAGTATATAGCTATTGTCTCCATGACTGCAAGGTGTCTACATTTTGTTGATTGTAATACAAGCCCAAAATCATCACCTCTCCACCCCCTCCTTTTTCATAAGTGTAGTTGTCAAAGGGTTAATATTATCTTATGTTTGTTGTTGTTTTTTTGTAGTTTCGCTGAGCATCACACGGTAAAATCATTGGCATGATTTTGATGGTGCATCTACTTCTGGGAAGACTGAAAACCCTTTTAACAGGTTTCTATTTGCAAAACATTTATCATTGTTGAATAGTGGACCCAAAATAATAGCCTATCCTGGATTGATTTGAATGAGCAATTGTCGTTGAGATCATTGGTGATGTCTTACCGCCCTGGCATTGTATTTTTTGTTTTATTTGACTTGTATATTTATACATCTGGCAGCAGGTTCAGTGGGTTTGTTTTTCGCTTGCAAAGTAGTTTGTCTGTATAGGCAAAAACTGTTACTCTATGATTAGACACAGAAGCAGGGGGAGACACAGGTATTGTGTTAATGCTGAATGCAATAAAGAAAATCTAAATATGTTCATTGGGTGGCATTAATTTTTCATGAGATTGCTTTTGGTGAACAGATATGAGCATTTTTAAACATGCCAAAACAACTGGGTATTGTACAAAAGTGTTGGAATATACAGATGACATTTGGGTATGGAAATATTGAAGCATACAGTAGAGCAAGAAAGAATAGGAATAAAAGAAGCCAAAATAATTGTGACATCTCAGTTTCCAATCCCCTTTAGGCTATTAGTATAATAAATGCAAATTTGATGCACATATTAAAACCAAGAATGAAAAAAAAGTTGAGGAAAAAAGCTTAGATTATGATAATCATTCCTCTTCAGTCAAATCGGACGATCGAGCCATCATTGAGAACAGCGTTTTATGTGAGCGTGCACAATCTCCAGTTACGGTAACACAGGTTACGTTAAGTGCACCTTTGGCAGATTGATATCTGTGTTTTGAATTAAGCGACCTGAAAGCATTGCAAGATTTTTTTCAAATTCAGATCAGTGTTTGATACCATACCACCACAACAGCTCCCTGAAAAGCTTTTACTGTTGGGTGCGAATACTGGGATGTGCAAGTGGATTTTGGACATTTTGACAGAGAACAGCAACAGTGGACAGCATAGCATTCAACAAAAGTATGCTCTTGGGTTGGACAATGCATAAGTTCAGCACAAAAAAAATACTGATAACATCTTTAAAGAATTTTATATTAATTTCAGCATTAGCAAAACATTACACTGTCGAAATGCATAGCATATGGGAGCAAATGATCCTTTGATCCAACATTTTTATCTACTTTGTTATTTGAATCATCTGTAGAATGAATCAACTAGTACTAGTAGTTTAAACCATGCTTGACTACTCTGTATTCAACACAGTTAGGCTGTATTGATTCCTCTAGTTAAATATTGAGTGGAGTCTCATTCCAGTTTGGGAAGCCAGCCATCACAGGAGTCTGAAACCAGGTCAATCACAGGTTGCTGTAAGGCCATACTATTCTGTCAACCAAACAAGCGAAGTTGGAAGGAAAGAGGAAAAAGTGATGATGTGCAGGTGTAGCAATGCAGCATCAGATGACTAAATCTCTGAATGGCATGCCCAGAGGAAATTAGCCTACATTGCCTTTTTCCAAGATATGCAAGGCATGACGGACATTTTTATGGCATACTACACACACATTAATGTACAAATGTATGTTTTTTTTGTCGCACAGTTGCATACATTCAATTCATTTAAATTCAATTATATTTATATAGTGCCAAATCACAACAACAGTTATATCACAGTGCTTTCCAAACAGAGCAGGTCAGACCCTACTAAGTTATTTACAGAAGGACAACAATTCCAATGTAAACAAACAGCTTTGGTAGTGTCAATCTTTAACACATCTATCATATGGATTGGAGCTCAGACTCATTCACTGGTTTTAATTCAACAGTTTTTTTATACTTGATCTTGGCAAAAATTACAGATTTACATAATCCAGTAATTTGACAACAGTTTTGTATCTCTTATTATGCAGTCTTCCAAAACCAGTTGATTTCAGAGCACACACTGCGATTCCATGGCTGCACGAACCATGACAAATTATAGAAAATTAACAACAAACAATTTTAAAAGCCTGAATGCTTTTTTTTTAGTCATTTTCTATTTAATCATGATCAATCAGTCATTTTTTCTCTTGAGATTATACATACAGAATCTTATAGATAAATTGTGCCCAAGTACTTGAAGATACGTAAATTAAAACATGTTAATCACAATACATAATCATCTGAAAAGTTATTTTATTTATTTTTCAAATTTTTACATATTTAAAGGGTTTCAAATCTTAAGGTCATGAAAACGGAATAATGTTATTCAATCATAAGTAACCCAATCTAATCACAATATGTACAGACTACATACATGGTACACTTCGGGACTACATACCCATCACCCTGGATTCATCAGATTCAATATAATGTTCCATAGATCCAAGGTACAACCCCTGCATAGGGAGGAGGAAAAGTTTCAAGCTCTTTGTGCTCTTTCACCATAGCAGTTGTTTTCTCTGATTGCTCTGTCTCTAGAGTAGTTGAGCCTTTAACTGGCATTTGATGAATGGGTTGTTCAGAGGACAAAGACAGAATGGAGAGTTTAACTTCTCCAATAAAACACAGGCAGTCTGCAATAGACCTCCAATAAATCTGTTTAACCTCCTGTTCTATTCCTCCTTTCTATAAGCTTCTGATTCCATGTAAACTTGTTCTTAGAGTTCTATAGACTGCCAAAAAATGTTAAACTCACTCAATTTAGGTGGGATGTTTTCACAAGGACCAAACTAGTCCAATCCACAAATCTGTCTACTTTTTTGCTCTTGATCCTTTGGAACCATTTTACAATTGTTTCGGACATATCAGACCCCAAAGGGTTGGGTTTACACGCCATTCACTTCCACACTTTCACATATCCTGTCACGACCGGGTCGGCTGAGCGAGGACTCAGATGCAGAGCTGGTTCCAAAGGTTTTATTAAACACAAAACGCACTCCAACGGAGTGGTACGGCAGGCGCTCCGAAAGGAGGCAAAAAGTAACAACAAAAAATCACTCTAGCAGAGGACGTGGGAAAAAACAAAGTAACAAAAGAATACTCACTAGAATAGGGCTAGGAGAACCAAACTCAAAATCACTCGGAAGCGAGGCAAAAACGGGGCTCAAGGACGGGGACTGAAAACAGGGCTAGGAAGCTAGGACTCAGGAACTATGACTGGAGATTGCTATGGAACGTGGGCACAGGAGACAAACGTAATTCTCTGGCACAGGACAAGGGGAGACGAAGACTATTTAAACACATGAAGGAAGGGGCACCAGGTGAACACAATAGGTAATCAGGGAGACGATCGGACTGGTGACACAACAGGAAGTGCAAGTGACCTGAAACGAGATGAGGGTTAGTCTTCAAAATAAAACAGGAAATGACGAGACGACAAAAAGACGAGACGAAAAAACCTCAACCAGGGCACCACCGTGACAGAACCCCCCCTTCAAGGGCCGACTCCTGACGGCCCAGGAATGTCCGGGTGGGCCCGGTTGAAGTCCTCAATGAGGGAGCGGTCGAGGATGTGCCGGGAGGGAACCCAGAGTCGTTCCTCCGGGCCGTACCCCTCCCAGTCGACCAGGTATTGCAGGCCCCGGCCCCTCCGTCGCACAGCCAGCAGTTTCTTCACCCGGTAGACGGGCCCCCCACCTACAATCTCCGGGGGCGGCGGGGGGGG